CAGTGATGTTGAACATTTTTTCATATATTGCCATTTCTAATTCTTCATCTGAAAAGTGTCTTTTCATTTCAGATGCCCATTTTTGCATTGGGTCTTTAAATTTGGGAGGTCTTATTTTTTAAGTTCTTTATATATGCTAGATAGTACACCTTTTGAATAGATGGTAAAATTTTTCCCACTCTGTGGGTTGTCTCTTCACTCTCTTTCTATGCAAAAGCTTTTTAATAAGATGAGGTCTGAGTTGTTTATTCTTTGTAGTATTTCCCATGTGGTCTGGGTTTTGTTCAGTAGTCTTTGCCTACTCCTGTGTCCTCAAGTGAAGCTTTTTAATAAGAAGAGATCCCACTTGTTGATTCTTTGTGCTAGTTCATGCACAACTGAGGTTTTGTTCATGAAATCTTTTCCTACACCAATGTCGTCAAGAGTTCCACCTAACCTCTCTTCCAGCCGATTTAGTGTTTCTGTTTTAATATTTAGATCTTTGATCCATTTTGGTTTTAGGTTAGTGTGTGGTGAAAGATATGGGTCTAGTTTCCATCTTTGGCATGTGGAAAGCCAGTTTTTCCAGCACCATTTATTAAAGAGGCTATCTTTCTTCCAGTGAGGGTGTTGGCTCCTTTGTCAAAGATGAGGTGGTTGAGTATCTGTGGCGCTGTTTCTGCATCCTCTAGTCTGTTCCTTTGATCCTCAGGTCTGTTCTTTTGCCAGTGCATGGTGGTTTTTTTCATCGTGGCTTTGCAGTATAATTTAAAGTCAGGGCTTGTGATACCCCCTGCTTTGCCTTTGTTGCGCAGAATTGCCTTTGCTATTCTAAGTTTCCTGGTTCCAAATGAATTTTAGGATTGTTTTTTTTAATTCTATGAGATATGCTGTGGGGATTTTGACTGGGATCGCATTGAATCTTTATAACAATTTTGGAAGTATTTTCACTATATTGGTTCTTCCTACTCAAGAACAAGGGATTATCTTTCCATTTTCTGATACCCTCTTCAATCTCCTTTTTCAGAGTACTATAGTTTTCAATGTAGAGGTCTTTTACTTCCTTTATTAGATTGATTTCTAGGTGTTTCATTGTTTTGGATGCTATTGCAGCACCATTTTTAGAATGAAAACATAAACAAAAATTGAGTAATGGGCCAGATGACTGAAACAAGAACCTCGATTTAGCGGTTCCTGTTTGTGTCTCTGCAGCTACCTTGGAAGGCACGAATGCACACATGCATGTGGTTGCTTTGAGGCTGACCCAGTGTGCTGGTAGAAGTTCTTCAGTTGAATGTGGGAACAATAGCAGGAAGATCTTGATGTGTTGCTTCTCTGGAGTCCCTTCATCGTGGGTAAGCCATGGTTTTGTATTTTGTGAACATTTTTTGAACTTTTCTCAGAAGACTGGTTCTTACTCAGAGAAAGGCTGGCTTAACTGCCAACCTTTTAGAATGAGAAGCCAGTGGCAGAATTCTCATTTTCTGCATGATGACTGTTATAAGATAGCCTGATGAGTGGATTTTAGTTTCTGTAGTGTAGTTTATGTTATGATCCTCAGAGAAAGGAGAAATATGCCTTCTTTGTGATAAAAGAATAAACAAATGGCTAGGGTGTAGCTCAGTGACAGAGCACTTGCCTAGCATGTGCAAAGCCCTGGGTTTAATCCCCAGCACTGCTAGTAGGGGGGATAAGAAAAGCAAATGAAGAAGATAATGAGGCTTCAACCTTTAAGTTGCTTTTGGCTTTAGGAAGAGCCATGAGTGGCTGTCCTTGAGAGCATGGCGGGACTTTCCCACATGGTTTTTTTTTCCTTTCATTCTAGACAAGCCAGTATTTAACTTTCTGAAGGCAAGAGCTTAGACTTTCCCAGGCAGCTAGGCTGTTGTCAGGCATATGCTGGTATAGCATTTGCCTTGGGAAAGACTGATGCAGGCTGATTTAGATATATTTTGGATGGCTGGAGGGAACAGGAGAACATGATGAGATAATTCAAATAGAGGACTGGGTGAGGTAAACTAGTCTGTGTTACAGAAGACTTGTAACCTTCCAGTCTGTATTGCATAGACTTATGGGAAATACAAGGCACATTTTGAGAGGTTCATTTCACAGAGTGGGTATGTGGACGTGTGTACCTATGAACATCTAAGACCCAGAGGTACATAGGAATATGGAAGGAGGCCGGGGTTACTTAGTGCCATCAGGGAGTGGGCATAAGTGAGGGAAGGCTATGTGTAGCTGTTTGCTTTGTAGCTGGTGGCCAGTTGTCCTTACTAGGGGCAAACAATCTGAGAGCACCTCTCCCTTATTTTGTCTTGTAATATTAAAAATTGTAATATTTAGGGGTCATTTTTCCATCCTGTGTGGTTGTCTCATTGTTGTGAATCTCTTTTCAGAAATCTTTTTATTATGTCAACGGTATTAATTCTCCTGCACCAGTGATGGTGAACCCTTTAGTGCTCTCAATGATACAAATAGCCTGCTGTGGCACATGTGCCGTAAGTTTGCCACCACTGCCCTACACTATTAATAATAGGAAAGGGGATGCTGATAGTTACACTCTTCCCCAAAAAGTGATAGATTTTTATCAAGAGTTATATTGTAAAAGGGCCATGAGCTCAAGTCAAAATGCTTGGCCAATATATGAGATAATTTACTATGCAGAATTATCTCAAGAATATCTGCTCAGGGCCAGGGATTTAGCTCAGTGGTTCCGCCGCCTGCCTCTCAAGCTCAAGTTCCCAAGTTCAGTCCCCAGTGCCAAAAAAAAAAAAAAAAAAAAATCTGCTGAGGATGTAAATCAGTTTGGAAAGAAAAGAAAGCAGGGTGGGCGTGAGAGTTTAAATGGCGTCTGTTGCCAAGGTGCTTAACATGCTTTTGAATGCTTGGGTATTAAAAAATTGAGATTCACTTTATATATACCTATATATGCAATTCAGAATTTTTGTATTCAGTATGTTATAAATTCAGAACAAAATATACATGATCATACACCAAATAACATTTCAATCAACAACAGTGTACGACAGTAGTCCCAGAACCATGCAAAGTGCAGGGAAATACTTAGTAACTATTTGTCAGCCAAGTTCATGATGCCTTGGATGTTTACCAAGGACATTTGAGTCAAGTTTGAATTTCCTAGTTAGTTGAGAAATATTCAGAAAATTTTATACACATATATGTGTCACTTTTTTTTTTTTGAGACAGGGTCTCATTATATGGTTCAGGCTGGCCTTGAACTCATTGTGTATTCCAGGCTGGCCTCAAACTCATGGCAATCCTCCTGCCTCAGCCTTCTGAGTGCTAAGATCACAGGCGTGCGCCACCACTCCAGGGGTATGTATCACTTATGATGATATATTCTAAGAAATGTATCATTAGGTGATTTCATCATTGTGTACACATAATAGGGTGTGCTTAATGATGGCTATAACATCACTGGGTGATGTGGACATATGAAGACCAAGGAGATGGAGTGATTTTCCCAGCAATCAAAATGTTAGCTAGGGGAAGATCTGAGCTCAGAAGAGAATATTTTCTAAACTCCAATTCAATGCTGTTTCTGCTAAAATAATTACTTTTCCATTAATACAGAGCCTTCATGATGCATTTGAGTGTTTAGGGCTAAAAATGCCCATTTCTATTCATCAGATTGTTTGGACCTTTCCTAGAATATGTTTGAAAGGGTCTGGGTGTGGCTCTGAGGGAGTTGGGTTTTGTGGGCTTGGTGACTAGGTTCAGTTACTTTTGAGTCACTGTCTTTCTTCTGGGGCAGGGTTGCAGGATACCTTGAAGCTAATTTCACTGTAATAGACATGCTGGCAGCTGTAGGTATCTATCAATATGTGTCAGGCACTTTGTAGGTCCTGTATCACAGGAATGGGGCACAGATACAAACAAGTAGCTATGGTTCTCCCTTATTAATACACAGACTGGAGTAGGGGTTGATGAAAGATATGTCAGTCAACCTTTACTCCTCTGTGTAAATGGTCTGCTGCTGGAGAATGTTCAGGTGCTGAGCACTGTTTGCTGGGCAGAGGAGGGACCACAACCAACTCCCTGGGGGAAGGATTCTTCCTGAAGGCAACAGGGATTTCAAATATCTGGATATGATGAACTAAAGTTAGGGCATGCAATAAAAGAAGCCCTTTATGACCCTCATCCATTTATGTGTGGAGTGAAGTGGGCCCTTGGAGTAAGGACAGTTTGATCTAGCTTGAGAGATCTGTGTTTTCAGGAGAGGTGCTTCTGTTTGGGGAACTCCTGGTATATTTGAATCAGTTGAATTATAGTCCACATTGGAACAGTGAGGTTCAAAATGGAAACTTAAGCTTCCAGTTCATTCTGATTCATCATTTGCCATTCTTATGAAGGTTAAAACTCAGCATCTGAAATTTCCGCTAAAGCTACACACTGATTTCTTTCAGACTTTTGGGTTATAGAAAATAGGGTCTTCTATGGTAATATTTTCTATATTTCCAAAGCACTGTTATCCACATTTCCAGATTTGATCTTTGTGTTATTATTGCTGTTATAGGAGAGTAAACTGAGGCTCACTAAGGTCAAGTGGGATCTGAGGAAGGAAATTCCTTGAACAGTTTGGCCTGATTTTCCAAGTGGAGGATTTTGTTGATTATGATAGTGATAAGGAATCTCTTAGGCAATCACTTTTTACAAGTAAAAATAGCTGCCATATGTGACAGATGTCCCAGCAGAGCCAGGTGAAGTAACTTGCTGTTAATGGACTGAAGAGGTCTTTACTCTTAGCAGATTCTGAAGTGGAGTTCCTCTAGCAGCATCGTAGCTAGGAGTGTAGGATAGCTGAGATTAGGCACAGTAGTAGGCAGGAACACAAGACTGGTTGAATTGTAACTCCTTGGTGTTAAGATTCTACTGTTCTGCAAAAAACAAAAACAAAACAAAAACAAAAAAAACTGAGGGTGGGCCGGGGATTTAGCTCAGTGGTTCCGCCACCTGCCCCGCAAGCACAAGGACCTGAGTTTGATCCCCGGTACCAAAAAGAACCCACCAAAAAACACTGGGGGCCTTGGGTAGAACAATGAGTCCCTTTTCAGGAGCTGATGAATGCAGTGAAATTAATACCTGCAGACAATACAGATGTTAGAGACTTTTGCCTATGCACAGTCTAATTTTCAATTCTACCCCACTGCTCTGCCTTGACAAGTTAAAAAAAAGAAAGGGGGCGTCACCACCAGCTTTTCATTTGGCCTCTTTTTGTCCTAAGTTTTGTTGATACTTAACTGAATTTAAAATTTTCCCTTATTTTTTAATCTCTTCTCCCACATGGGCTGAACTTTCTTCATATGTTTAAAAGTAACAATTCTGATTTAGTTGGAAAGGTAGGTGAAAATGTCAGGCTGAGGATCTTCTAACTTTATGTTTGTGTGAAACACTCAGGTTGTGGAATCTCTATGGTTGTCATCTCAAGGGCATCCTGCAATCCCTTGATTTTTCTTTTTCTCTTGAAAAGCAACTGTCATGTAACCTGCCCCTATGATCCATCTAAAGCACCCCCCAAGTGAATCTGTAAACATCACTCTGTTTTGTTTCATCATAACACTGACCAACATCTGGTATTTTCTTGTTCATTCATTCATTTGCTTCTTTTTGCCCATCCTCCCTAGCACGTACACTGTGGTGAAGCTGGAGCCTTGTCCTTCCTGTGCAGTGCTGTGTCCCAGCACCTTGGAGAGGCTGGCCCGCACAGGCATGCTAAGTGAACAAACCCCTATTTATAAGATTTTCTGATTTTTTTTCCTGTTAAGATTGAAAAGTTGTGAGCAGCATGTTTTGTCCACTGAAGCTCATCCTGATGCCAGTGTTGCTGGGTAAGTGGAAGCCTAGGGTTGGAGCATGGTATTTGATTTCTTGGTTTCTCATGTCTCATGCATTTTTATTTTATTTTGTTTTTATTTTTGGTACTGGGGATCAAATTCAGGACCTTGTGCTTGTGAGGCAGGCGCCAGAACCACTGAGCTAAATCCCCGGCCCTCATGCAGTTTTAAAAGTCAGCTTTACATATTTTCAGTTCCCTTTGGTTTGTGGAGGATGGAGACATAACCTGCAGCTTTATCAGCTTACTGAAACAGGTGTTTCAGGAGCAGATGCCCACTTTCTTGGAGAGGGGAAACTTTCTCTGTTTCTGTCAGACACAGAATGTCTTCAGGTCCTGACTGTATTCCATGACTTTCTTGTGTGCTTTAAAGAGAGCTTCCTCTGTGGCATTTCTGTACTTGAAATTGTTACCTTTAATGATTTTTTTTTTTTTTTGGTATCGGGGATGGAACTCGGATCCTTGTGCTTGCGAGGCAGGCGGCGAAACCACTGATCTAAATCCTTGGCTCTTGAAATTGTTACCTTTAAAATCACAGCTAGTCTCAGATCTGGAACTATACTACCAAAGATAGGCCCAGAATTCCACCCCTCTCCTTTTTTTTTTCCAGTTTTTTGACAAGTTTCCAGTTTTTTGAACTCTCTATTAGTTCAGACTGGCCTTGAACCCACTATATAGGCCAGGCTGGCCTTGAACTCATGGCAATCCTCCTGCCTCAGCCTCCCAAGTGCTGCTATTACAAGCATGCACCACCACGCCTGGTGCTCCCTTTATTGTTTTCATGCTTTAGCTATGCTAGTTCTCTTTTGCACTGAGCTCTTTCCTAATCTGTGGTGGTTTCCTTTGCCTGGAACCTTCCCTCCCTCCCTCCCCTCAGTCCCTCACTTTATCTCCAGATTTCCTCTGAGGCTCCACTTCCTTCTGTGAAGTTTGCTCTGGCCTTCTGCTCAGATCAGGTTGGAGTCTCCTGAACATACCTTTCTCAAGTTCTCAGGGCTGCTTCCTGCTGCTCATCACTATTTCTTTCTAATTTTAAAAACTCTCTTTTTCTCCCTGTCTTTCTCCTTATTCCATGGATACAACTCTGTAGGAAGAAGAAATTAATTAGGTACTTTGTTCTCGTAGCCTTTTATTTTTCTCTCTACTATTATTTTTGGAACTGTGGACAATGAACTAAACACTGACTCAGGATACAAAAATGTGTTGCCATTGCATGAAGTTCAGCAATATGGAGTGTGCACAAATGTACACACACACACATGAAAATTTTTTTCACAGAAGCAGGGTTGTAGCTATCTCAGAGGGAGTTTAAATACTCCCAGAGAGATCTGTGAAGCAGCTTGCAGAGTTTTGCCCTTCCATCCGGGGAGTTTCCAGTATAACATCTGTGGAGTTTTGTATGTTTTTGAGAAGTGTTCCTTCTCTGTAGAATGTCTCATTTTCTTTAGCCACTTCTCTACCAGGAAGCCCCTCAGAGCTTCAGACCTCAGTTTCTCTTTGCTTTGATTGCTGTCATTGCTTCCTGGCAGTCCTTCATTTTATTCTACAGGCACTGTTCTTAGTATTAAATGAAATTCACTTGTAACTTCAGCCAAACATACAACTGCTCAACTTTTCCTCATAGGAAAATTCCAAGTAGTTGTTGGAGCTAATTTTGATTTCTTTCAAAATAACTCCCTCCAAAGGGTTTGGAGTTCATGTTTTCTTTTCTGTCCTCCCTACTGTGTGAACCTGCTGTTGGGCAGGAAGTTAGCTCTCTTCTCTCAGGAAAACAGCTTGGATGAAAAGACTGGCACATTTTCTGTTCATTCCCATATGCGTTCTCTTGGCTCTTCTTTGATATGAACTGGGCAGCCTCTAAATTTGTCTCTCTTGATTTTGTTTTCTCTGCATGGAGTATATCTTATGAAAGCAGAAATATCTATGTAACGGTTTGGTTTTTTAGTGATCTATTAAAGTTTCTTGAGCAACATTCAGATAATGGGGGAGGGTGGTCCCTGTGTGCAAAAGCCTAGAGGCTGAAAAGCCAGGGTCCATGGCAAAAGTGGGGGTGTGTGTGGGGGGAGGCAGGAGGAGGGCAAACACAGGGGAAATGGGAAGGCTGTGCTCTGCTTTGGCCTACCTACAAGCACCTGCACTATATCCAGAATCAGCCAGCAAATGCAGATATAAGCTTTTGTGAAGGAACTAAAGAAAGGGAGAAGAGGAAAAAAACAAAAAATACTGATGAGTTGGCCATTCAGATAGGAAACCAGTGGGAAATTTAAGAATAAGAAACATTCCATTCCATGTTTACGGCAAGAGCATGCAGGTGTCTAAGTTGATAATCAGAAAGGAGGATTTCAGGGTTTCCTTTTCTTCTTTAGAAAGGTTAGAAAGAGGAACTGTAGGAAAGAGGAAGAGACCCTTTAGGAGAAGGGAGCAAAACCAAACAGCACTTATTGGAGTATAAAGATTTCAGAACTCTTCAAACTTGAGCCATGCAGATGACCAGAGGATATTTCTCCTATCTTTGTTGATGCCATGCTGGTTTTAGTGAGGGCTGAGTGCTTGGTTTATGTTGAATCATCAAGGGGAATGGGCTGGGGATTTAGCTCAGTGGTTTTTCTGCCTGCTGCACAAGCCCAAGGACCCGAGTTCGATCCCCAGTACCCCCCCCCCAAATATATGAGTGAATCATCAAGGGGAGGTGTACAGTACTTAATGATTTTTATAGTTGAGGGTATTTGTCTAAATGATGTGTGTTCTTGCCTTCGATTACTTTAGATTATTCCTTGGGCCTCAGTGACTTGACTGCTTTCTACCCTGAGCTAACAGTCCATGTGGGTGATTCAGCTCTAATGGGATGTGTTATCCAGAGCACTGAAGGAAAAAGCGTGACCAAGGTAGACTGGATACACTCACGGGGACAGCATGTCAAGGTATGAGAAGGACTCTTCACTGTGTAGTAGAACCCTTGACTGATGGTGTCAGAGTGTGGTGAGGATAGGGCAAATCTGCCTTTGGGCACCATGAGATAGTTTTGCAAGAGCTTGGGCTTTAGAGGGCATGATAACTGGGATGCCTCCTGGAGCAACCACCTGGGTATGCAATCAGCAGAGAAGATTACCCAACCTTTCTGAGTTCCAGCTTCCTGAAAAGTAATTATAATAATGGCAATACTTACATTTCAGGCAGTTGAGAGGCCCATATAAGACATGCACATGAAATTCTTTTCGTTTCTTTCCTCTGTCTCTTGCCCTTTGTAGAATAGAGAAGGTGGGGGAGAGGGATAACTCCTGTGGTCTAGACAGAAGAGTAAGAGGCTAGGCAGAAGAACAACATCACCATTATTTTGTGTGTTGGGGGTGGGATAGCAGATTCTGTCCACATTCTACTGCTCTGAGAGTCATCTTTTTCTCTTTTGCATCTACTTGAAGTGTTGGGACTTGCAGGTGCAGCGTGGCTGGGTGAGAGTCTCTTATGGAGCTCTTTGGAGTAAGAAGCCAAAGTATTAAGCCTCATCAGAGATTCTGTGGAGACACTTGGATGTCAGGATCATTTGTGAAATATGTCCCAAGTAATTTGCTACTAGTGATAAAACCCCAACATTTACAAATAAAATATTGTTTTTGTAGCTCAGAGCATATTTATTGTTATCTCTGTAATGCTAATGTCAGTCAAAATTTCATTGCTATTTATTATATGAGGGGTATAGTTTTGGTGTAAGCAGAAATAAGAATTCCCCAGGGCTCCCCCTCCTAGCCTGTAACCATTTCCTGTCGATGACACCTTCTTTTGTGTTATGATGTGCTGGCTGGAGGAGGACAGAGATGAGAAGGAGTGGCAGCAAGCATTCCGGGAAGACCAGCCCTATGCCAGGGGGATTAGATCATGCATTTGATGCCATCTAATCTGGCAGCCATGGCAGGAAACGGTGAAAGTGAGAGATGATTTCTACAGATTGTGATTTTGAATCCCCAGAGTGATCTTCAGAGTGGGTGTAACGTTTTCCCTTAAGTTATAAGCAATAGAAATGTATGCACCCAATTTCTCCATTTGTCTTTGTAGAAATGAATCACAGCACCTTGTGCAGGCTAGAAAGTGGCCTGGCACATTATTATTATTAACCAGATATGATCATTATTAACTGGGTATTATTAGTAATTTTTTGATGATGATAATAATGGGGATGACTATGCTGCCTCCACTTAACTGGGCCTTTTGAATCCAGACTCTTGGATTGGCTTCTCTTTTGATTGCCTCTTGTTGTGCTACCCTCTAGGATGAATATGTGCTATACTATTATGCCAACATGAGTGTGCCTGCTGGACGCTTCCAGAACCGTTCACACTTGGTAGGCGATGTCTCTCACAGTGATGGTTCTCTCCTGCTCCAAGATGTGCAAGAGGCTGATCGGGGAATCTATACCTGTGAACTCTACCTTGGAAAGGAGGGCAAGGTGTTTAAAAAAGCAATGGTGCTGCATGTGCTACCAGAGGATCCCAAAGGTAGGGGAGGAACCAAGGGGCAAGAGATTCAGTGTGCAAGAGGGAGGGGAAGTGAGTTTGTTGAGCAAATCAGCCTTTGTGCTAAGTACTCACCACGGGGCAAGTCTTCAATAAATGATGATTATTTTATTAAATAAACATTATGATAACTATTGTTACAAATGTATTTCCTTCCCCAAACAAACAAAAAAAGCCTGTGAAAGACATACTGTTCTTTCCATGTTTTAGAGGAAGGTAACTGAGGCTTAGAGAGGGTAAGGGGCTTAACTAAGGCTAAAGGGTTGCTCAGTGACCTACTGATACTGAGACCGTGGTACCGCCGACAAATTCTATGTTCTTTTTTACTGTACTCTGATACTTCCTATCAGTTATCCACATTGCTCCATATCCATGTATTAAATGTATCTATGGTAGATAGTCTGGGTTATAAAAAATGTAAACAGATCTCTCTAACTTCTTTGCACCTCATTTCCCCATGTGTAAATGGAGGAAGCGGCTTCAGTAGATCTGTGGTTTTAAAATTGTCCCGTTTTAGGGCCGGGGATTTAGCCCAGTTGGTTTCGCTGCCCACTGCGCAAGTGCAAGGACCCGAGTTCCATCCCCAGTAACCGCCCCCCCCCCCAAATTGCCCCTTTTTAGAAACCTTAAGCTCTAAGGAATCTCAAATAGCCCAAAAGGCTAGAACAGAGTAGAAGTCTGTAGAAAACCTACTCAGATAAGACCCCAGTCTTCCATCCCCATTGCAACCTTCGTCCTTTCTTTTTTTCCTGTTTTTTTGTCTTTTGTTTAACTGGGCTCCTAGCTCAGATTTTGTTTGAAGAAAAGATTCTTCTGCTTTAAAACAGTCTGAAAGTGAGAGTATGAGCTGAGGGAGCCTGAGTCATGCCGAGACAGCCTTGGTTCCTTCCTCTTTGACCAAGTATTAGTTGAAAGGAATGTAGCTGAGATTTTAACTAAAAGGAAGTATTATGCTTCCAGAAAAATCTCAGAAGTGGGGGAATAGCTTAGAGGTAGAGCATTTGACTGCAGAAAAACCTCAGAACAAGTATTGCAAACAAGAGAGGTAGCAGTTCGCCTGGTCTCTGAAGCAAAGGGTGGAGAGAATCAACCAAGAGGAGGAAAGTTGGTGATAAATCCTTCTCCTGTAAAACAGTGGTGGTGAACCTATGGCACACATGTGATTGTGTTTTTCTTTTAAGACAAAAGATGTTAATTTTTTCTAAACTAAAAATTTAGTATTCGGGTTTTTTTTTTTTGGTACCGAGATCGAACTCGGGACCTTGCGCTTTTGAGGCAGGTGGCAGAACCACTGAGCTAAATCCCTGGCCCAGTATTCGGGTTTAATTGCTGTGTTGGCACTATAATAAATAAGTGGGTTTGGGGTTGCAGTTTGGGCACTTGGTCTCTAAAAGGTTTGCCATTACTGCCTTAGAACATAAAGGGTAATTTTAGTTAACAGGGATGGTTTCTTATTTAGAGATGGTGAAATTCTAGGTGGAATGAAATACTTCACTGCTGAAATGGCATCACCTGATGCTACTCATTCCACTAACGTTCTAAAATCTTTCATCCTATAAACAATTTCCACATCTATCCTTTATAGTAAGCTAATGATATCCAAACTAATGACATCCAATGTCTCTAAAAGTTCACTGTATTGATGTAAATGTTTCCAAACAAAAATATGTAAATAAAAAATGTTTGAATGTTAGAATTAGATGCATTCTCTAGTGTGGAATAGAAGGAATAGTCTCTGGTCTCAGGGAAGCTTGCTGTCTAGTTAGGGGACTAGACTTTGGGACTCCACTCCCCACAGCCAGTGTACTTAGCCACTCAGCTCTTCGGAGGAGCTCTTCTGGAGCATCCTGCCTTCCTCCTTCATGACACTCATCCCACCCATTCAGCTGCATTTTCTACTCACTTGGGTCTGTGCCCTTTGTCTCTGATCAGCTCTGGGGATAGTGCCTAGTACAGAGTAAGTAATCAATATAATTTATACCGTAAATGATTTTTTTTTTTGGTACCGGAGATTGAACTCGGGACCTTGTGCTTGCAAGGCAGGTGGCGGAACCACTGAGCTAAATCCCTGGCCCTTAAATGAAATTTTTTAGTTAGTGATCTTCACTTGAATCTGATTTCTAAGAAATGAAGTTGTAGCAGGTGGCCTCTGGCACCTCTCCTCATTTTCCCTATTTCTGTTCTTTGTCTTTTTTCTCTTAAATCCAAAGCTGTGGTTCCCATGAAAAGAAGCAAGTCAGATGCCTGTATTTCCCAAGGATTCTCTCTGTGCTTCCTTTTGCTGCCTTTGTTCCCTAATGCCATGCCTGAGCACTTGTCTGTCCAACCATAGCCTACAAAATGGATGCCCTCTCTTGCTTAGGAGAGGCATGGAGGGAACCAGTGGGAAACAATGTTAAGAGCTAAAGAAGCCATAGAAATAGACCAGGAGTACTCAGGTATTTCCCAGTACCTGTTAGGGAACTTGCATTTATTTTTCCCTTCCAGCCAGAATGGGAACAGATCCAGCCCCTAACAATTTTGGGCTCAGTGGAAAGTTGTATAATTGCTTTATGGAAGCATATGGAAAGTCATTTATAATTTTCTCTACAAAGTTTGCCCTCAGTTTACAATTTTTTTATGATTCTACTTATTCACTTCTTTTTTTTTTTTTTTGGTACCGGGAAT